GGAGGGCCTAGGAAAGGGATAAGCCGGTGTGGGCCCATCCCCGGCCGCCTCCCGCCTCTGCCGGCTGCGGTAGAGGAGCGCCGTAAAGCACGCCGCGGCGGTCAGCCGGGAACAGGGCGCTGGGGAAAGGAAGGTGTCCGGCAGGAGAGGGGGTTCTTAGGTTTCCTCTCGGGGTGCGTTGCCGAGTCCTTGGCTCCTCAGCCAGCTGGCGCTTCCTTCAGCGGCGGCCTTGGCCGAGGGCTGGGCTTGTCCCGTCTGCGGGCCGTGTCTTGCTGGGCCTGCCCTGCGGAAGCCCGGGCGTGTTGGCCTTCATAGGAGTAGCCACATCCGCTTCTGTCGAGAGCTCAGCTGCGTGTTTTCCCTTGTTGGGTGGTGCAGCTTACTGAAAATACTGCCTGAAGAACGTCTTTCAAAGGTGTTTGTCTTAGGGGAGCAAAGAAACGTTTCTCTGGCAGTGAGTCAGGGGTCGTAGTATCACCTGGGGATCCTACTCCGAGCCAACTCCTAAAATAAGGATGAAAGTATCCGCCTTTAATGGCAAATAGATGATAGGAGAAACATGCAAATAAACAATGTGACTTGCAGCCTCTAAAAATACCTGTTCAATTAGCACAGGCAGTTTCTTTCTGATCTTGGCTGCAACATGGATCCATTTTGAGATGGAAGAAGGACAGGCTTCTTGGTTTCATGCCTGTCTGCAGAGATGTGTTGCTTTTGCATTAAATGAGCATCATAATTGGTTGTGTCTCTGTGCAAAGGAAGAAAATGGTGGCATGTTTCTGAGGAAACAGTGAAAATACAGATCACAAACTTCTAGTGAAGTAAACCAGTGAAGTTAGTAGCATAAGGGCAATGTGTGCCAACAACATTCCATTAGAATCCCTCTGCAGCTTGGGAACCCCGACATGCCCTTCAGTAAGGGCTACTTAGTGAAAAAAAAAAAAAAAAACCCTTCAATAACAGCAACACTTTCAGTTTTCTGTGCTTCAGTTTCAGATACAACCATTACTGTCTAATGTCTCAGCAGCTGCAGCAAGTGCTTCTCGTTTGGCATCCGGTAGCTATAAACCTTTGGAGGCATGTATGCTGCAAGTCCATCTGGCAATACCTAGAATTGTAGAGAAGAGGCTTTTAGTGAACTCTGAAGTGCAAACTATGTGCAAAAAAGTATAGTCAACATAATGATGTGTGCCAGTTCATTATTTGCTCTTGATGGTGGATCGTACAATCATAGGACAATTTAGCTTGGAAGTGACCTCTGGAGGTCGTCTAGTTCAACTCCCTGCTTAAAACAGTGCATTGTCAACATTAGAGCAGGTAGCTCCAGGCCTTGTCTGGTTGAGCTTTCTCTTGAAGGCGTTAAAATGGAGTTGAAAGTTGGGCCTGAAATTTAGCCAAATTTGGGGACTAAGTGTCCCAAAACCTTGAAAAGTTACAGAGTATTAAACAGTCTGAATGAAGTATGCTCTTCCTTGGTTAATTGGAAGTTGTGTTTCCTTTCCATTTTTGGCGTTGTGATTCTGGTTCTCCAGTTGTACAACAGAAATATGCACAATACAGAGATTTTTAGAAGATAAAAAGCCAGCAAAAAAGTATGTTGCCCTGCAGCACGCAGATTTTTTCTTACTAGATAAACTGAAATATTTTAAAAGTAACATTTCCCTGTACATGAACAAAATCAAACAGGGTGATAAACCACTTTAAATTTTAAGCGTTCTTAGTATTTCACCTGCATAGTAACTTGTTTAAAGGCTAAAGTACTGACTCCTGCAGTCATAGAGGTGCCATGTAATCAGCTGTATTACTATGTCCTTAACAGCGTGCAATTCTTCCTGTGCAAAACCCAGCTCTTGTGCCTTACTTGTCCACTGAAGAATTAAATTTATTCACTCAGTCAAGTTTGATGGAATGAAGATAACTGATGTAAGCCTTTATCTATCTTAATCCATTTTTGTAGAGTCACAGCGTTTCTTAGCCAGTGAAGTCAGTCTTTGAAGGAGTCTCAGCATTATTATTTTCACTGCTCAGTGTCGACAGGTCCCAGGTAAAACATACTTTACAGAAAAGTCTTAAATACAGTGAAAACTTCCTGGAGAAGCTTATCCTCTAAGTAGGCAAGAAAGGCAAAGAATGAAGGAGAAAAAGATAATAAGATAAATGGAATACCTGTGCCATTGTACTTTTCATGATGTGTCTTTTAAATGTCATCTGTGTTTTTGCTATGTACTCAAGTTAAAAATAGGCTGACATCTTTCAAGGGGAAAAATTACAGAAATTTAATGGTTATATTAGTTGTAGGGTTGAACTTTTCACCTGCTAATGCAAATAATTAATTTCAGCCAACACTGATGGCTCTGCTGAAGCTGTAGATAAAAGCACAACCTCAGCAGATGCTGTTCTCTGTCATAAGGACTCCAGAGAAGGTAAGACTGGAGGGTGAAATAAGATGAAAGAATGTGCAGCAGCTCAGCTCTTCCTTTTGTGGGGAGTGTAGTCACAGCACCCCTTACAAGACTTGACAAAATTTCTACCATCCTATTTCAGCATTTTTCCTCCAGGCAGTAGCTAGTCCACTTACACTAGTGAATGTCAAACTGTATTAGGATGTCATTTGATACAGTGTAAGTAGCATTACTTTGAGAACAGGATTGCATGCATATCTCGTAAAAAATATGCCCCTTTATACTGACAGCATATTAAGTATCTTGTTGCCATTTGAAGTTAAATTTCCAGACGCTTTTCTTACATGTAGTCTTTTAAGTGTGGTGTTAAGATTACATATGCAAAGATCATGTTATCATTGTCCTCAGACCCACCTTTTCTGTCAAAGTCATAATCCATATTAAAAGTATATATATGGTACTTCTGTTGAGTGTAACCTCCAGACGAATCTTCCACTAAAAAAAAAAAGGTATTATGCAATTTAAAAAAAAATCTTTGCCTTTCTTATTACAGTTCTGTGGAATGAATGAAGAAACTTTAGAGGCAGCTTCTTCTTTTGTTCCCCACAGAAAAAAACCCAACCCTTTATTCACGTTTTGTATCAGCTAGAGCAATCCCTATGGTTCCCTTATGATCCTATATTGATCCCACTGTGGCATCTATAGAATCTCTATGCCTGTTGCTGACTTCCAGGCAGTGGGGCTGCGCATTGCTATAGCGTCTTCTGCTAATTAAGATTTTGTCTAACCCCTGCTTTTTACACACCCCAGTGTGACCCTAATTTGGCTACAGGAGTAAGGAATATTCTGATAGAGCATCTCCCTAAAGTGTCAGGGCTTCCCATAGGCCTCACAAACTTAGAGTGCATCTCTACATTCACATTGCTGTATGTTTTCAGACATGGTTTTCTTTGAAGCTGATTATGAAACACACAATAGTGTTTTGGGGTTTTTTTTGGTACATCTGTTCTTAAGTCTATTCCTGTTTTATGGCAGCTTTTCATGGGATTCTACAGTACACTTTGCAGTTCTTTCCAGCTTTTGAGAGATTGATAGGTAGGGTCCTTTAAGTTTCAGATTTCTGAGCTAGGTTGGTATTATTTAATATTCCACATGTTTAATTCCATTCTCTGATTTCAGAGTCTGTCAGGACCCACAGCAAAACAACTCCACAAAAGAGGCACCTACCTGCAGAACAAAGATGAGCATCGGGAAAGCTTACAGTACCTTGAACATCAGCAATGGAACAGATCTAGCTATTGGCTTTACCTCTTCCACAGTAGCTGTCCTTCTATTTGGGACAAACTTTGTGCCTGTTAAGAAATTTGATACTGGTGATGGTAAACTTATTTATATTCTTTTCTTGGGTTTGGTATTTTTGCTAATAGGAATAATATTTTGCCAGCAAATATGAGCGTTTCTATAGCTAGAGTTAGAAATACCGTCACAGCCTTAATCCGCAGAGCGTGTGTGGATTAATCCACATAGCTAGAGTTAGAAATACTGTCACAGCCTGAGCTTTGAAGGAGTTTTGTCCTGTGCAGTCATCTGTGTTAGCTGCTACTAGGGTGGTGGCAGAACTTTGCAGTAACTGAACTCTTTGTCAGAAACCTGTCAAAATCTTCATGTGTTTGAGAATCAGGGTTTGTGTAAACCTCGTTCAACAAAGTGTCTTTTGCAGTTGTGTGTAAAGAATGCATGGTAAGGAAAAGGTTGACAGAATTATAACACCCCGCCCTAAAATACATCTTTTGAATATATTGTAACATGGTTCCATGACATTCACAACGGAGATGGGCACCTTTCATTTTTTTCTGTACTATTTTATCTAAAACATAGTATGTTAAGAGATTCACACATGCAGTGTTCTACAGGTTCTCAATTGTGTGCAATTGATTTTTCTGTAGGCATGTTCTTCCAATGGATTCTCTGTGCCTCCATATGGATAGTTTCTTTGGTGGTCAATTTAATACAGAATTGCCCACGGTTTTGGCCTCTTGCTATGGTTGGGGGTTTTTTGTGGGCTACAGGTAAGGATAAAGAGATTCTATTTCTTGAAACACAAAGTAATCCTAAGTCTTCATAAAAAAAAAAAAGTGATAAAAACTTTTCCATATTTAAGGTAGTAGTTATTTGGTAGTTATTTGGCTTTTTAAAGTCTCAGTATTAATGGAGCTGCACCTTTATAGCAAATATTATTTTGTTATGCTTATTTTATAAGCAGCAAATTCACACCAAAAATATCTTTAAAAATGGTGTTGAGGAAAAGTCTGTGTTTAATGTATTTATTTTTAAAAAACACTATTTCCTGCCACTTTATAGTTGCCTAAATTTCTTTGCCTTCTGAACAGTCACAGACTCTAAAACAAAAATATACAAGATCACAGTCTAGTTTTTAACCAATTTTAATTTTGTTTTTTGTATTTCAGGCAATGTTTCAGTTGTCCCTATTGTTAAAACTATTGGCTTAGCTCTTGGTCTTTTGATATGGGCTTCTTTTAATTTGTTGACAGGTTGGGCAAGTTCAAGGTGAGTATGTTTAAGTCTTAAATCATACATAATTAATGTTGCCTATTCTTCATTAATAACTGCTGTGAAACCACTGTCACCAATAAAGAGGATTTATCATATATTTAAGATCTTTTTCCCTCTCAGTGAAAAGTACTTGGGTTATTTTATCTTTTTGCATTTCCTCTGCCTCAATAGGAAGAAGAATGCCCAGTGATGTTCATTAAAATAATTGAGTGAATAAATACTGTATTTGTTAATGTAAAACTAGTACGGTCTTTGTATTTTTTCTTCTACAGCATGGGCTGATAAAATAATTTAAATTAACTTCAATTTTTAAATACCCAGATTAAAAAAAATTAAATATTAGTTTTGTAAAGTAGACATAGCCTTTTGCAAGCCAACTGAAGCACCAATCCAATATTGCAAACATAAACTTAAGCATGAGTGAATAAATACTGTATTTGTTAATGTAAAACTAGTACGGTCTTTGTATTTTTTCTTCTACAGCATGGGCTGATAAAATAATTTAAATTAACTTCAATTTTTAAATACCCAGATTAAAAAAAAAATTAAAGATTAGTTTTGTAAAGTAGACATAGCTTTTTGCAAGCCAACTTGCACCAATCCAATATTACAAACATACACTTAAGCAGAATTATTTCCATGAGTAAAGATTTCCAAGGCTGGGTTACAATTTAACTATTTGTATGCAGTCAGTGCAACTAAGTGAAACTGGTTAAATATTCCAGGTTTGGTTGGTTTGGAATTGACCCAGAAGAGGTGTCAAGACCAATCCTAAATTACATTGGAGCTGGACTTTCACTATTAAGGTAAAAATTTAAATTTCTGTGATGTAAAATATATATTTAATAAGCACAGGGACAATTTAACTAGAGGACAAATGTATTGAAGTAGTTTTTGCAAATTGATATACTGCAGAATTCATGAGCTATCCATACCTAGCTGGTGAGTGTTGTATTTCAGAATAGAAACACACATGATAGCCAGTACAGTGGTGAAATGTTATTCATAAACACAGAACTATATTGTTATGCTGGTAGGCATGTTCAAGGCAAAGCAGTGATGCACTGATTGTCTCCCTAGCTAGGTTATTCAAATGGTTCATTTTCCCCAAATTTTGTGAGAGGAAAAACTGGCTAGAAGAATCTTGGTGAGAGAACCTCTCTGAGATTTCTGATCTGACCTCACTCAGTCAGAGATACAATCCTTCCTCTTAACTGTAGAATATGCCACAGCACCCCTTCCCAGATCTGTCAGAGTCCACAAAAAGCCAGAAGCTTTGCATTATCTCTTGTCCTTAATAGCTCCCTGTCTTCTGACTCCTAAGCAACACTTAACAGCTCCCAGTGTCTTCCTTTGGGATCTTCAGAAGGACTTCTACTCTTAGTTTTTGTGTATTATTTGTGTAAGTGCACATTTTGGTCCAAACAGAGGAAAGAGAGTCTTTGCTATGTAACAGAGTTCTTGCTTTAAAACTGGGTGGCCAGGAAGGTCTTTCTAGGAACGTAATAGTGGCCCTAAATCCCCAGGGTGGTAGGTTTGCCATAAGCATGTTAAACGGCAGATGCACATAATGCCTTTAGGAAAGAAGGGTGTTACGACCATGCAGATGATAGAACAATTCTTGATTGCTAGGAGACAGCTGCTCTTAGATTCATTAATTTTGCCCCAGATCTTCCTCTTTCCTGAGATTCTGCAGCTTTTTACCCATTGCCATTACATGTAGCATGTGATTTTGTGAGGTACTCATAAAATACTAGCAGTACTGCTATTCCTGCCTGAAATCCATTCAGCTCACCATCTGCTTCCTGCCTGTTTTTGAGATATCATGGAGGAGTGATCAACAGGGAGAAAGATCCTGACCAAACATGTTTTCCTGGCAAGCTGCACAAAGCCTGTGTATGTTGCTCTGCAGAGCTGAGAAGTGTATATTTAATGTCAGCCTCCTGTGTGGAACCTGTGCATGTTTGCCTAGTCCCTCTGGAGGAAGCTGACATCCTTTTATCTCTATCCTTATTCCTTCAGCAGATGAATCACTCTTCAAATGGAGGCATTCTGTTTACAGCTATGAGAAGGAATTCCTAAATCATTAAAATATCTTGCATAAAAATAAAGACCAGATCCTGCCCATTCTGGTATTTATGTGATTTGCTGGATCTGGGGGCACAAGTAGTAACGTTACCCTTTCTTCTTCATTTTATTCACTTAGTGCACTGGAGCACCACTGAGCAATACCCCTTCTTCTTCCACATGCACGAGGCCCTGTAGGAGCAGTATTCCCTTACTCGCATATGATAGAAGACTGAAAACTAACATTTTCCTTGAGCACAGAGCCAATTCTGTGCAGGTTTAAGTTGTTACATACAGAATTTTCATGCAGATACTCCATTGTATGTGTGGTTTAGTACGAAAGGGCACTGTTAACTAAAGCAACTGTTGTTAGCATGTGGTTGTAACTACACACTGTAAAAAGGAGACTTTTCAATCTCATTACTTAGAAGAGAGATCTATAAAGTGATCCAAAGATTAATTTATTTCCTTACTTAGGTTCTTTGATGAGACTGTTAAAACCAATTGCATTTTTAAAATATATTGAAGTGACTCCAGAGCAATAATGAAAATAATGTGCCTCCAAATAAAACTTTCGTCTCTGGACGCTAAATGTTATGTCCTTATGAGCTGACATGGTATTTATTGGTGTATTTTTCTCTTCTGAGTGCTGTCATATTTCTTTTTATAAAAACTGAAGTCCAGAGTTCTTCAGCTTCATTAGAAAGTACACCTTTACTGAGAGAAAGTGTAAGTACTCTACAGTTGTTACTTTACAGCAGTTAAAGTACCTATCCATTTAAAACCAAAAAAATTGCTTAATGTTAACCAAATTTGCTAAGATTTGTGGTAGACTACATAAAATACATAAATATGCATTGATTGTATTTAATTTGTGGATCTTGTATATCCAGTTGAATGTGAGAAACAGAAAAGGTTTTCCCAAGTGTTCTTTCTCTATTGTCAGCTTTAAATGGCTTAGAAGTCCTTTTTCATTGTGACAGGTTATATAAAAGACAGAGTGTATTACTTTCCTATTTGAGAAGAGGAAGTAATTTTAATTAAAGCTTAACTATAAAACTAGGAGGGTGCTTAGATGGAAGGGAAAAGGGTGTATAACTCTTACCCACCAGATTTTTGCCACATTGCAGAGCCAGAAGACTGTCAAGAGTCGCTGATTCTCAGGATCGGCTGTAGCACAGGTTGGAGGCCACGGAGGGGTGCCAGATTAGCTGTCACTCCTTTGGGAGCCCAAAGTATCCAACAAAAGCAGGGGAACAGTAGGTTCCTACTACCATTGTACCTTACTCTTGCAGGTCAGTGATGCATCAAAACTCGATTCCTACCTGAACAGAGAGCCCCTCAGTTTTCTAGCTGTGCTTAATGCTCATTAGAGGTTCCAGTCTATCAGAGCAAATCACAGAAGACAGTCTATCTGCAGGATTAGATTAAAGGGATGTCACAATTTCTTCATGCTGCAGATAGGAGTGTTCATTTCCCTGTTTGCAAATAGCCCTAATATTCTAACAGCAACCCTAGAGCTATCAACACAGGGCAAAAACACATCATAAATAAAATCTATAGATTAAATCTTTCACCAAATTTAAGGAAGGATGAGTTTTGAAAGTTAGATCTACCTGCATGCAGATTTTAAAAAAAAATGCTAGTGAGTGTTCTGTTATGTAGTAAACCCAAAATCTATATCCAAACTCATACTTATAAACTTTGAGGTAGGTAGATCCAATTATTATTTTGTTATTAAAAAAAAAATATGTTTCTCCTTTCTTCAGAGTATTTCTGTAAATTCCTATTGTTTCTCCTTTCATTTTAATTTTATTTACTGTTCTGTTTAATACAATGTTTGATAATAAAGAGTGAAAACTCTTGGGTTTTTGCAGTCTATTAATGTTTCTGAAGATACCTCTGATGACTCATGGGTGAACAGACTTTCTCCAGCAAAAAAAAGACTCATGTAAGTTATTAACAGTTCTTTTACTGGTGCAGGCCAAGTAGCCAAAGTAAGTAGTTGAACACAGAGGAAGAGCAGAACTTCTGTCCTGTGGTTTTCCTAGCACAGTCATGCGCTAACAGTTTTTAAAGTACTACTCTAGGGTGTGTATCTATATACAGCTGCATCTGTTAGATTTTTTTCTTTCGAATTGTTGAGTGTGCTTTACCTTATCAAGTAAGCATTAGTTACTACTACAAAAGAACAACATTTGCAATGTAAATAATAATAGCAACTAAGTAATTACAGAGCTGTTTTTTATGACCTGGTTGATTAGCACTCCAGTATGGAAGGAGCCTATGCTAATAACATGCTTTCAGGTGTGGTTTCCAAGTGAATACATCTGGAGAAGGCAGGGCAGTATGGTAAGGAGGCAGCAGAAGTGCTCCGGTGTGGCAGCAGGAACAGGTAGCAAGGGGCTGGTGTGGGGAGTGGAGACAGCCAAGAACACAAGGGTCTGGAGGCAGAGGGTGAACCTGGGAGTGGTTACAAAGATTATATAGACTGCAGCAGTGAAACTGACAGTGGGAGCATTTTAACTGTATTTTTTGTTGTTTTTTTCCTAGCTCTGCTTTTAGGAAATCTTAGTTAGTTTATTTCTCATTAATCTAGACTGCAGGCTCTTTGGGCAGGAATTGTCCATGTTACTTGGCCACAAAGTGTAGGAAAACTAAGTTATGACGTTGAACCATTTTAACACTAGGAAATAAAAATGTGCTAAGATACATTATTTTTATAGTGTTGCTAGCAATTTTGCAATGATACAGTCTTTAACTGTAATACTGGACTTGTCTTAAGTGTATTGTCTATTTCCTTAATTAACGCTAGCCTATTTTCTCTGATCTTTGCCCTTTTTAAAGAGGATGTAGCCTGGCTGTAGTAGCTGGAATACTCTACGGTTCCAGTTTTGTACCAGTACTTTACATCAAGGACCATGGAAGAAGAAATGAAACTATATACACAGGAGCAAGTCAATTTGGTAAAGGCTAATAGGTCACTTCTACTTTATTTCATCAGTTTATTGTGGTCTCCTGCTTTCCTAAAGGCTTAGAGCCAAATTCTTGATATGCCCGGAAGTATACCATGACAACTTTTCAGTTCTGCACTATGTTATATGTTGTCATAATCATAGTACTAGCACTCCTTCTTTCCCAGAGGTGAATTACACCATTAAAAGAACAGTGAGACACAGCCCTGAGGATACCATACTTAACTCACAGAATTTAATGCCTTCTGAAACATAGCCAGCATCCTCAAAACATAAAGTTCATATGCCTGGAACATGAGGTAAACAAGGGCACAAGCTGTACCAATTGCCTAATTAGTACACCAGTAAAGGAAGAGGAGAAGCTTGATCATAATTAATTGATGAACAGAAGAGATATATGACAACATATGTAACTAAAACCTAATTGCCAGTTTCAAACAATATTTGCCCAGAAACATTTTCCTTAAAATTTAGTGTATAGTCAGGTTATACCAGCAACAGCTTGAGAGCAACGTATTGCTGTTGCTGTTAAGAAAATGTTATGTCACATACAATTTTCTCTTGAATACTGCAACTTAGATATTCCCCAGCTACACAAAACAGATGTTATCATTACTGTAGCTGCCTTTCCTGTTGAGAATTTATAACTCCAAGGAGATAGAGATCACCTTGCTAAATGTTTCTGCTTTAGTATATTGGAAGTACTCTCTTCAGCGCATACCTAGTCCATAAAAAATTTGTTATTGTTAATGATTACAGTGATCAAAATTGTGATACATGCTTCAAGATTAAAAACAAAAAAGACAAAACTGTGCTGTGTTTAGCTTACGCAGTACGTGAAGTTGTCTTGCCCTTAAATGTACAGAAAAGAAACAAGGCCGTATACAGGAATGCAAATGTAGATGGCCAGGAGAGGATCTAATTTTGTAAAATCCCCACCCCAGTTTTGTAGCCTCACCTGAGGATTTTTTCAAGTTTTTAATAAATTATTTTAGTAGTTTGACTAATAGAGTTCCAAAGATAACTCACAGAAATGCATAAAAGCTTGTGATAAATTCTAGGGTTAGCGCAGCAGTTAATTTACGTTTAATACACGTGCAGTTGACCACCCACAGTCAGACTGACAGCTGCATTCATCACAGTCACAATTGAATTTGAGGTGTTAGCAATAGCACCTTATGTGGTTTTGTCTATGCGAATGTTGTCAGCGAAACAAATTTTGTTAAAATTAATAACTGATGCTTTAGACTAATACAATTTTGTAATTTCTCTTTCAGATTTAGATTATGTTTTTGCACACTTCAGTGGAATATTTCTTACAAGTACCATCTACTTTTTGATCTACTGTGTAGTCAGGAAAAATAAACCTAATGTTTATCCCCAAGCCATATTGCCAGGTATGACTTTTTTAAATGAACAATTAAGTTCAGTTACTACTTCTGACTGTTTTGCAGTGATTAGTTCAAGCTATGTGTTGGAATTGTAGTTCGCCTTTCAAGTTTCTTAATTTGTCTTTTTGTCTCTTTTGAAAGATCACTCCTATTAGGTTGGTTAGTTAAGGTTAGGAAACATAATTTTTGTTCTAATCTGAAATTAGAATAAAATGATATTGCATATGGTGGATTTTCAAAAACTGACTTTACCAGAGTGGAGAGCATGTTTCCCAGAAAATTGTAAACTTTAATTAATTTGCTACTTCAGTTGGAGTAGCTGACTTTATCCTTGAGCTTTGATTTAGATTATCAGAGTCAGCTTGTTAAAGTAGTTAATATACTAAAATACATACATACAATTTCCGTATCATGCTATAAATATAAATGTTGCACAAATTGCTGTCTCTACCTTGCTGTGCTTGTTTTTGATTGGGATTTCTTTTTCTAGGGTTTGTTTCTGGTGTGCTTTGGGCAATAGCCAATTGCTGCTGGTTCATAGCCAATCACTATCTCAGTGCTGTGGTCAGCTTTCCAATAATTACTGCAGTAAGTATATAAAAAATAAAATCTGTGACTGGAATGAAAAGGAAGGTTTCCCCTTCCCCCCCCCCATTGGTGATTATGATGTGTCCAGAGCATTTTAATTAAGAGTATACGTTGCTTTTTCTTCTGCTTGTCTGTGCTAGCCTTTAGATTTTAGGAACATACATGACTGTGACAACCACCATCTTGGTGAATGGCAAGCATAAAAACCAGAGGAATTGAAAGTGTGAGTCTTTAGGTTATGTAAAAGCCAAAGCTCTGTAACCAGAACTATATCAATATTAAGTAGTAAACTGAATTGATTAAAAGAAGAAACTTTTTATGCTTTCATCCCAGAAAATACATTTTGTTCTGGATGTTTTAATTTGTGATTTTTATCCTCTAGCAGTCATTTTTCTTAAGTCAGGCATTTTTTCTTTTTACAGTTCTTGAACACACAGAACAGATTATGTATTGCTGAAAATAATTGTCTTATGCAAATGAGGGAAAAATAAGTTGGCCTATTTTGTTTGGTTTATTCCTATTTGTGATACTGTACCTTTAAAACATGGTTAATTTCCAGGAGCTCCATAAATTCCATCACTAGGTAAAAATAAACTTTGCCTTTACTCTCTTGCCAACCTACTAGATGGTGCTGCAAAGTTGGATAACTTCTGGCAAATGAGAGTTCATAAATATCAAAACCAAAGTTTTGCTGAACAGCTGTAGTTTGGAAGCAAACTAATGAAACAATGTTAATAGGGATTAAGCTTTGCTTCAAGATGCAGTAAATCAGAATAAACTCTGCAGTATGCAATGAAAAAAAAAACGCTTGGGATCATTCTAATTAGGAATTGAAGGATTAATGGAAAGCTGCTTTAGAGACTCAGTTATCAGTATGCCTGAAGGGCAAGGATATAAAATGACAAAATGAAAAATTTAAGGACAGCACTGATGAGAAACTGCCTATCTGGTCCACAGGTTTGCAATTGCTGCTTTACTTCATCCTAGAGAGAATTTCAGAGAGCTATTCATCACATCCCTTTAACAACTGGTTTCATTTTTAAAATGCATTTCTCTCACAGTGTACATTATGTAGAAAGCGAAATAACACCTTAGCTGTTACTCAAATAATAGTTGGCAATTTCACTAGGAAACAGCACCCACAAATACATTCAGCATGAGACACTGTTTCCTGCTGGCCTGAATCTGTGCGATCAGTGGTACTGAAGATGGAGAGAGGAAGATCACTGTCCAAACATCTGTCAAGTGTTTCTGAGAGCAGCTCTAATGGGAAGCATGAACAGAGCCAATTTTCGCTTCATATTCTGATAATATTTTCTCATCAGTCATGAAAATTCAAATCATTGCTCCCACGGGGGAAAAACTGTATAACCAGGAGTGCCTGGCAGTTATCGTTGCATGTCATTGTTTCCTGTTAGCTAGGAAATCTGTATGAGAACATCACAGATAATCAGTAGTTTTCCTGACCTGTCTATCTGGCTGGCTTTACTTTGTCCAGATGCCTGCTATACAGGAAAAACATTTATGTTCCTGTTTCTTGACATCATACTGAGTGATAAAATCAAACTTTGTCCAACTAGGTAGTCATACTAATAAAGGAAATGTTAGGAATATCCATGATAGCTGCCAATAAACCTCAATAATCCTCTGAAATGTGGTAAAATTGTGGACTGTAGTTTGGACTAAAGTGATGCACGTTTGGCACCTGCTGAAAGAACATATAACAGCCAGTGCAGACTCCACAATGTCATTTAGAAAGAAATTGTACCTTCTCTGAAAACAAGTCTTGCCTCTTTAGCCCTTCTTGAAGATTTTATTGTGTCTTACTTTGTAAAGATTTCAGTGATGTTTATGCTTTTGCCATGAGTGCTGTAATTATATGGAATGGAAAGGCCTAATAAATTTGTTATCCAGACAAAATTCAACCACCCTGAGAACAATAATTAGAAGGTGGCACATTTTAATGAAACGCTGTAATGTACAAATTAATCTTACTCTTTAGGGTCCTGGCCTTGTTGCTGCAATGTGGGGAGTCCTTGTATTTAAAGAAATCAAGGTAATCTTACTAGATCTCTTACCTAGTCTCTATTGCTTGTCTCTAGCTCTAGGGAACAGCATGACTTGGTATACAGCTCTCTCTCTTAGATTTCTCCTCCTTACAAGTATCGCGTTATGAAGCTGAAAGTCATATCATGCAATAATAAGTTTTCCAAGAAAGGTAAAGAACTGTGAGCAATTTTTACAGGAATGAAGATTTGAATTCCATAACTATATGAACAGCAGTGGGAGTAAATGAAGTCTGTAGCAGGGCCAGGAGGCAGGATGCCAAGCACAGCCTGCAAACAGTCTTTATTTGAGCCAGTTCTTTCAGCGGGGGCAGGGGAATGAGCAATTGTCCTAATAATCACATAGACAAGTAGATTACGCTTTCAGGATCAGATTCACCAAAGGACCAAAAAGAGACAGAGGTTAGTTGGCCTTGCTAATTACAGTATAGTGTAGAGATTCCTGAACTGATATGGCAGTGATTGCCTAGAACAGTTTAAGTTACTATACTGGATGTTAACATACATGGCAGAAATTATTTTTCTACTGGAATTTGAAGCATTGAATGCTAGCAGTGTAATCCTCAGGTTCCCTTAGCTGTCTGTCCAGGATCCTTAGGTAGCTAATCTTCCATTAGAGATCATCTTTCCCAGTATTTCTGGTGAATGTGTAAAAATACATAAGGCATCCTTGGATTAGGAACTAGAAATTCTCTGTCTCCCACTGCAGATTAATATTGCACCACACTAGAAGATCATCATGTTTATTATCCAAATCTTTGTGACTCACCAAATCTTTCATCCTTTTCATACATTTTAGAATAGTCTCTGCATAAGTGCTTACTGCTTAAAAATAATCTGAAAATAGACAAAGGCCTTTAAAAATACTTTTTAAAATTGCTGAATTAATTTTGTGAATATTTGACTAAGTATACAGCATCATAGATTGCTTGTGTGAAACTGTTTTGAACAGCAAATATGTTACAAACATTATATGAAATGGTATAAAATGTATCATTTCATGTAATGGATTTATTAATTTTGTCATAAAATGAAAGCCTAGTTCTTTATTTTACTTTTGTGTGTGTGTGTGTGTGAAACGGGTACCTATTACGACAATGTGGTATTTCTCTTTTTTTCTCTCCCTTTGGCTATCCAGGGCCTGAAAAACTACATGTTACTCTCAGTAGCATTTTGCATCATTTTGGCTGGATCACTCTCCACGGCTTTTTCTAAAGTTTGAAAGGATCCTGTGGACCAGTAGATGGTGCTACTGTTTAACGTAATCAGAAAGACAAGAGTGGTATATCGCAGTACACGATAATTTTCAAAATGTATGACCAACATTTACCATAACTTGCTTCAGGCAATTGAAAAAGAAAACCTTTGCTAAATGTTCCCGTTTGGCATGAAAGAAAATCTGGAAATGTTTGTTTCTGCATTTCTTGGAACAGTAAGAATGTCAAAGGATTTTATTAAATAAAGCTAAATGATTTTATAGTTACTAATTTTTTTCTGGTTCAGGTACTAAACTTCATGTGATCATAAAATGTATTTCACTGTTGTGCAGGTGGATAAATGGATTTTAATTTTTAGCCTGTAGTACTGTATGTATTTGCAAGCTGATTTGTTTTATTATAATACTCTGTGTTACTGACTTGAATGTAAAATATGTCTTGGAATATTCTTTATGGAGCTGATACACATGAAGAGATGAAGTGGTTTTTTATTTAGAAACATTCTTTAAAGTCATCAGTTTACATAAAAATTTTATCTTTCAATCACTTAAGAGTTTTGAAGGAAATACAGAAAAAATGGTGCTGTAAAATAAATTGCTTGTGTTTTGCTGCTAGTTTGTTTAGTTGCAACAACCTTATGTAGAAATCATGACCACGGTACGAATATTTGGGAAAGTTTGGGTTTTTTTATTTCAGTTCTATGGAACTTTGCAAGTAAACATTACATTTCTGTAACTTGCGGTGTTGCAATATGAGCCAAGTACGTGGTTCAGAGATTGTTTTCAAATAACTTTGGGCATTTTCTGAATACTTACTTTTCTGTGTAGCATATTCAAATCTTAAAAATTATGTATGGCAATGTTTATTACATTGAAGCATCATGCTAAATCTGCTCAATCATTGTCCTATCCAAAGTAAGGTCATCTCTATGTAAATCACTTCTGCCAGTTATCGTCTAACTTGTTTCTTTAAAAAACTAAATAAAAGAAGTAGTTTGCCTAAAAATGTTGTAAAACCTAACCAGCTTCTAACTACCTGTTCTGCTAGAAAGCTTTAATATCCAAATGCGATTCTCTCTGAGGAATGTTATATCCATTGCTGCATGACCACCACCACTGTGGAGAACTGTTTATTTTCTTACTCGTGGCAGCTAACCTTCCTATGTGGAATGCACGTTGTCTGAACCTTCTTCAGTACATTTGACAACCCCAGCTCCTGCGGACTTCCCTTGTTTGCAATGTGCTCATCATTTTTCTTGTTCTTTGCTGAACTCTCACTAAGTGGACTAGATGTGTCTAGAAAAACTAGACGTGGCAGTCAGACTGCAATCTTAAAAAACAAAGAGCAGCAACAGGGATGGGATTTTTTCATCCAATTTGCAAGCTCTGTTCGTGGTTACACATCATAGTATGACACTTTTTGCCATCACGGCTTGATGTTGTTAAAGTGTTCAGGCTGCAATCAAAATTTTGCCTTTCTCTTCCACCCTTCTTTGTCTACTATTTATCAGGTTTGATCTTGGAACTGTTACTTAGCCCACTTTTTCCCTGTCCCATATTGTTTATTCCTACCCAAGTGTCAGAACTTGGTGTGTGACAGGTTTTTCCCCCCCTTAAGGCATTTCTCTAATTTTGCTCTGTATGTTAATCCTGTCCTCCAACAAGTTGGCAGCATTTTCCAGCCAGATGTCATCTGCAAATTTAATAAACATACTCTCTAATTATTGTAAATTATTTATGAAAATGCTGTATGATACTGGCCTATACTTTTTGGAAGTTAATACAGGACTACTTTTCACTCTGACAGGGAACAGTTGATTACTCTTTTGAGTACAATTTCCCTTGGTCTTACAGTGGTTTTATTTAGACTGCGTTCTCCCAGCTTGTATATAACATCTGATACAGTTGTTCAAGTCAAGATACATGATGTGTACCGCCCTGATACTTGATACTGGAAAGAAAACAGGTCAGGTTTCTTCCTAATGTCCAGGTGAGACACAATTTCTTCTTGACAGATCCTTGCCTGTTACCTAGCCATTATTCTATTGACTCAGACGTCTAAGGAAGAGTAATTTGTTCACATATTTATGAAATAAGTTGAATTAAATTGGATGTTTATAATTTCCCTGGGTCTGTTTCCCTTCTTAAAGATCACAAGAACTTCTATGTTCCTGGAATATACCCCATGCCAGAAAATTGCTGATAAACAAAGAATTAGCCAAACCAAAATACGGTGTTCTCAGGCTCCTCTACAGATGCGCTTTAACATGTCACTTCTTTCCCAGTCGGTATTAGTTCTTGTCCCTATGTCAGCGCTCACAGTTGTGTTAACAGTGACTGTAATTTAAGTAAGACTTGAAGGGTGCCGTGCACTTCAGTTTATAATGTCATTCCTGAATAATGGCAGATTATATCTTATTTCCAGACAGCTACTGACAAAACCGCTAGTCTTGTAACTCACTATTTTTCTAAAATAATTACAATGCAATACAATATTTATGAAGATACTGTGATTGCAGCACCAGGCCACTTTGATGTACCAATGCAAATGCTCTGGAAGGAACATCTGTTTAGTTGACTTCTACCTGTAGGTCACCTTCCACATTTGGTTAAAGTCTGCAAGTACAGTCTACACTGTTCAATGAGGTATACTCTTCAATAGTTTGTGTGAAGTGAATTACTAACACCTCAGTCTGGAAAAATGGTTGCAAAACATTCAACCGTAACTCTCAGGGAGGAGAACTGTATCTGCACGGGCTTGGGCAGTGACTACCCTGTTCACACTGCTGCCTCCAGGGCAGGGCTAGCTTTTGAGGATTGTGTAAGACCCATATTGTACAACAGGTCTCAGGCCCCAGAGATCCCTAGAGCACCTTCAAGGGAGAGCAGGAGCAAGCAGAAACAAGGGTCAGAGAATCAAGAGATGCAAGGATGTATGGCATGATTAAAATCTGAGCTGAGCATCAGAAAATCAAAGATGCCTTTATTTAGCACAGCAAAGCTCCAGGAGGAAAAAGGATCAGGGGAGCAGATGAAGCTGTGTGAAGATGTTAGAAGGGTAGATGCAGTACAGAGCACGGTGTTTCCTACTTGCCTTCCACAGCTGGGCAAGCCAAAGTGCTTGCTGAAGACTCAAAGCAGAGGGGCTGTTCTGCAGTTGCTGGTGGGTCTGCACCAACTCTGCCTGGTAATCTGCCTCCCCAGCTGTGCGAGGAATGAACAAGCGGTTGCTCAAGGCAGCTTACTCTGGGACCTAGTTTATCCCTAACCTTGGCCACCTGTTTCCTATCCTACACTGCAGTGAAGTGCCAGAAGCCTTGTGTGCTACTGTGGTATCCTGAGGTTCTGCTTGCTTTGGAGCAGTGAGTATCCTGAGTGGATGTGTCTTGGGTTTTTCCATATTTAGCCTGTCAGTTTTAGTGACAGGACAAGCTGGCTACTAGTGCTGTAGTGGAAATGTTATAACAGGTTAGCAAGTAGTAGAAAAATTTGTCTTGGCAGTGCCTGGTTTTACTTGTCTCAGTTCAGATCCTGTTTTGCTCACTGCATTTGTTACTTGCTGTGGTTTGAGATAAATCTGAAAATGGGCGATGAGGCTGGATCTGCTACATCCATCCCTTATTAGAGGACTGGCTCTGTCTCATGCTGGTTGTAAAAAAAAATGAAGCTGGCTTATACCTTGGCAGTTGAGATGCATATAGGTTTACGTTTTACGTTTAAGCTGTTACCGTGTGCTTCAGTTTGCTTTAACTCAAGGGTCTTTTCTAATGATATCTGAAGTTTCTACTATATCTTTTAAGGGATGCTCTTAAGTTAGTGTCTGGTATGGGCCCAGTATCCATCTGCTGGGTACAATTATGGGGAACAGTTGAACCTTCCGGGGCAGGAGCACCTTCACGTTGCCTGGTGTCTGTACAAGGACATTGGCTTTCTGAAACAAACAAAAAACCTGAACTCCTGTCCAGAGCAAGTACCATGTAAATGTGTGTAGTTTGATGCAGTTCTCCAGTCTGTATTGTAAAGCTATCAGATGTGCAAATGTAATTGCTGACTGCTAGGGCGTTAATTAAAATTCTTGTTTGTGAAGGCTTGAGTGTGACCTTTATTCTAAGCAGATATCCTATTGGATTTGTCCTGCCAACAAGGAAAAAAGCTCACCTCTTGCAGCTCTTTCCTGTGAAAAATCCCTTGTGGTAATTCATCAGGATTTATGGTTTAAATATGTATTTATTTCAAAATATTTTCTTGTGATGTTCACTTGGAATATATTGGATAAATATTCTGCTCATTTCTGAGATTTTCTTGTTCTTGAAGTTTCAAGTTTGAAGTAACACTGGTACTTCTTTCATGTTGAAATCCTGGATTAACAGATATCTGTTTATAGAGCTGTTTATACAAAACAGTCTGGCGGCAACTGAGTTTAATAAGAGAAAATTCTACAGCTAATATAAATTATCATGGCTCTGTTTATATCAGTGTGTTTTTATATCAGTGTAAGAACTGACCCAGAATATTTCTAACTTTTTTTTTTTTTTTGGCGGGGGGGGGGATGGGATGGGTGTTAATTTTTCCTATCTATAACTGAAGAAAAAGATAAAAGTAGGATCAAGGTGGAAGAATCACATTTCTTGGACAAAATTATACTTTCAAATATTTGTTTGTGCCTGTTTAATAACTTCCGAAAGCAAGCTCAAACCTATTCTTAGAACTTTTCTCTGGTAATACTAAGAGGCAATCTAGCCCTTAAAATACAGGTAGACTGGGAGTTTCCAAGTAAGATTTTTGTGCAGTGTTGGGAACCAGAGAACTCCCTGTCACCTTTTTTAGATTTCCTTTATCTGTTTATTCCTTTCCCTATGTTTATTATTAATTAATCTTCTGAGACTCACTGCCCTTCTTCCAGACTTTTATTTCTTCACATTCTTAGTAAAAATGATTGTTATCTGGAAAAAAATTTGAAGACATTAATTCCTGTGTCTTCAAATGTGAACAGTGAAAACTGGCAT